CCAAACAAACTGCAGACTTGAAGACTTGGAAGCACTGTGAAAAGGTTCACGACTTGGAGAGTAGCCAAGTCTTGAACATCCATGCATCGATGCTTTGCAAGGTGATCTGCCAATTATTATGCTGACAATCAAAGAAAATGCTGACAATCAAAAGAAAGAGTCATTCAAATGTAAAGCCCTGCCTTGGCAATTTTCGAACAGCACAGAGGTCTCCTACCCAATTTCATACTTAACAACAACAGATTCAAACAGCATTGCATGGGATTTGTGCAGCACTGCTTCACCAAAGTGCAGTCACCAGTCCTGGATCAGCCGTAACAAATACACCAGAGATGTGATGAACCTCACAGAGAAAAACCAGCTGACGCAAGTAATATTCAAAATCACAGATTGAAATTGAGTCCGACCATCATGTGAAATAAGACTTGTAGCATTTTTTCAGCATTTGGAATCTGAGTCTCGAACAATGTGAAAGTGTTTGCCCAGAATCTGAACAGTGCAACACTCAGCCAGGATTTGGGCCACACTTTTAGAAACATGTGTTGAATGATTAAAACATATGCCAAATTCAAACATATGATTTGATATGCAATCCATTTCATCATTTAGCAAGTCTCGAAGCTACCAAGCCTGGAATAACACCAAGTTCCCATAATAGAACATGTTCACAAATTTGCAGTGAAAAGGCTCGAGACTTGGAAAGTATCCAAGTCTTGAAGTTACACTCTCAACCAAATTATGGCTCAAATTACTTGTCAACAGACACAATGACTGCTGTGACATGTAAAGCCCTGCCTTCAGCAATGCACAAAGGAGAACATAGGTCTCCTGGTGAAACATTAAATAATCAAATGCAATGTGATCATCAAATCAAATACAATGTAATTTCACTCTGCAACCAAAGCATGCAGGCACTTTTATCACCCTCTTTTGTTGTCCACTGACCGCTTCTTGTTCTCTCTGGCCATGAACTCATCCACGGTGTTTTTCCACCTGGGTTGATTTTGCAGGTCAGGTGGGTAGTAGCAATTTGACAAAGGCACAGACATGTGTGTGTGTCAGGGTTGGCATGGAGGGCTACATGCAAGCCAAGTCACTCGGAATCCCTGCCAAATTCAGCACACGGGCGATAGAGCTGCTTGATCTGCTGCTTCTTAGTTGCACTCAAAGGATGGCTGTCTCTCAGACTGTTGTCATTGCATGCATGTTGTTGCAAAAAAAAATTTCTGAATGTGCAACAATGCAAACTTTGAAATTTTGGAATTAATTCATCCAAGTATCCGCTTCAGCGTACGTGATCTCGCACGACATTGCCCGTAGAAAGGATGCCACCTGCGGTGCCCTGTGGCATCCGCTGTTGCAGTGGATCCACAGCAAGTCGAAGTTGCCTTCCTGAACCCGATTTGTGAGATCTCGCATCCTGGAGTGGTCCAGATGAAGTAAATGTGACAGACAAAATCACTGCAATGTCTTCAAGATGTCTGAAGTAAATGTGTGACAAATTCAAACACCATCACAACTGATGTCTGCATGCTACTTCTCAGACAAGGATCCGATTCATCTGCTGGCTCTTGAAGCCAGGATTGAAAAAGATGATCTCAGCACCGATGTCCGCGGCCTCCTTCTTGCGATTCTCGTGGTGCCTGAGAAGAACAAGACTGATGAAGAATTGCCAGGGGACATGTTGAACAAAAAACCATGAAGCATCCAGGTGCAGTCTGGTTGCTCTGATGCCTGGCAGTTGATGATGAGGACCTTGACCCGGGGCAAGCGATCGTAGGCGAAGTATCCGGATATCCACAAGCCACCGGTCTTGAGCGGCATGAAGGACCTCGTGCTTGCTTGTGTGCAAGGAAAAATGCAACTCGTATTGAAACTGTCAAGTGGCAAAGTGCACGTGACATTGAACAATGAACAATGTCAGCCAAGATACGGTTTGTCATCTTCTGTTGCCCCTTTTCCAACATGGCGTTCGTAGACGATCTCGCCCATACGCACCTCCTGAGAAGAATGTCAAAACTGCACCCAACAAAACTTACAAGTTAACATCAATGCAACAACACTGCAACAACACAGACAAATAAGAAGACATATTTGCCATGTCTCCTTGGCCCTCAAACTCACGGATGGTGATGTCGGATCCTGTCCAGCAAAAATAGAACGATTCCATGAATGATGTTCTCAAGTTTATGGACTCCATGCTCACAATTCCATGTTTCTGCCTGGCCTTCTTCGGCCGTGGCATGGCCTTTGGAGGCACTGTGACCGCCACTGTCACATTGACATCCTGTCGAAGTCAAGAGAAACATCAAGAGAAACATGATGTGTAGAGCTACCATCAGTGCAGAATCAACACAAAAATCAACAACGGCACCTCTGGTGGGATGATTGTCGGTTCTTCCTCTACCTCTATGGTCTCATTGTCAGAGATCGTTCGGTTCTCATCCTGGTCAACAGCAGAATGAACATGGCTCCATACCTGAACTACGACATTCTGAAGAACACAAAACAACAGTGTCTGAACAGAGCACAACAAAAGGTCCTCCACAAGATCCGTTGGTGTGACCACATTATCATCCTCCTCGCAAGAGCTGGTTTTAGTCAAAGGCTGTCATGGGTGTGTTTGGCACGAATCAAATGATGCAGAAAATGAAACCACAATGCAATTAGTCCTGTTTGACATCTTCAGCAGGCTCTTCTGCTGGTTCGGGTTCAGCAGGTTCGGAAGGATGTTCTGCTGGTGCTGGTGCTGCTGCTGCTGCAGCACGTGTTTTTGGTGTTTGCTGTAGTAGTGGTGGTACTGGAGATGTTGGTGATGCTGCTGGTGGTGGTAGTGGTGGTGATGCTGCTGGTGGTGGTAGTGGTGGTGGTGATGCTGGTGGTGGTAGTGGTGGTGGTGACTCTGGTGGTGGTAGTGCTGGTGATGCTGGTGGTGGTCGTGCTGGTGGTGGTAGTGCTGGTGGTGGTGGTGGTTGTTCTGTTGGTTGAGCTGGTTGTTGTGATGGTGGTGGTGGCTGTGGTGGTTGAGCTGGTCGCAATGATGCTGGTGGTGGTGTTGGTGGTTGAATTGGTCGCAGCGATGGTGGTGGTGCTGGTGGTGCTGGTGGTTGAGGTGGTTGAGGTGGTTGAGGTGGTTGAGGTGGTAGCGATGCTGGTACCACTGGTCCCGGTGCCACTGCCTTGACACAAAAAGAATGAAATAGATCCAAGTAGATCAAAAAGAATGACACGACTGCCAAGATCAAAACGAATGACGCTGACAAGTTTTAGTTGTTGAAGCCAAAACCCAATTCAGAAGAGTTGCAGCAGGCAAACCAGGCACACCAGGCCTCACCATGCCAACCTCAGGAAAGTTTTCACATTCATACACAAACATGAGATGGGACCGCCCAAGCTCAAGAATGCAACTCAATTCAGCTGAGTTGCAGGAAGTGGGGTAACAGGCGCTGAAGAGAGATGGGGGCCAGAAGATGTTTGATGAGCCTCAGGCAATTTTTCACATTCAAATTCAATTCAAGTTACAAACATGTTTTGAAAGATCCAAAAGCGATTCAGTTGAGTTGCAATCACCGGGCCAACTGGTAGACTAGCCCCTGGAGCTGCTTCATCCACCTTTGGTACCTCAGGCCAGTTTGGAATTTCAAACAAACAGACTAATTGCTAGAAACAGTGCAATATGTGTAAAGCAAGGCCAAAAAAAAACATCAGTGCAGCCAAGCTTCACCACCATAATGGCCACTGCGTTCTTTTTCAAGACGGCGACGTTTGTTCTTAGAGCAACAGAAAAGTTCAAACCATTTCAAATCATATCAAAGCAACTACCCTAGATGTAGTTAGTGCAGACTACCGTAGATGTAGTTAGTGCAGACGAAGATTCTCGCTTCTGGTGATAGGTCAATCCACTTTCATCCTGGCAAGACTATGACTCAGTTGTGTCTACATCAATGTTTCTACATCAAGATGTCAATGTGCTCATGTTATGCTTGCAGGCACACAGTCCAGGCCTCGTCGTTGTCCATGCCATCAGCTCAAGACCCGAAAGATGTCTGGGTTTGTTCAGATGAAATGTCAAATTTACACATATTGATTTGGGAGCATATTCTTTAGCATTTGAATTGTAAAATCAACTCAACAAGTGGCTTGGATTGATGGCTTGGTCGTTGTCCATGCCATCAGCTCAAGACCCGAAAGATGTCTGGGTTTGTTCAGATGAAATGTCAAATTTACACATATTGATTTGGGAGCATATTCTTTAGCATTTGAATTGTAAAATCAACTCAACAAGTGGCTTGGATTGATGGCTTGGATTGATGGCTTGGATTTGCTCTGATGTGGCATGGATTTGTTCACATTGCGTATTGTGAAAAAATGTTGGAAAATGGGGTGAGTTTGGAGTCGTACTTTAGAAATCCGTATAATAGGGGGGTTGATTCTGAAATTTGCACTTCATCTAATGTTGGATGTTGTGAGATTTGGCACATTTCCCTTCTGATGTTGCTTTAGTTGACTGATGTGCCCCCCCCCACTGCATCCAAAATCGCAACGAGGTGCATGTTCAGCAACATGAGATTCAGTGCACATGACATCAATACTACCTGCTTCATGACATCACACGAATGGTGACTGAGCGCTGTCCTCCACTGATGGCTCTGCATGTGCGCTGCTAATCGAGGACCTGGCCAGCTTTGGTGCATGTGAAAACAGTCAAACACAGTAACTATGTTTTGAAACCCTGTGCCCATGCTTACTTGTGTTTGCATGCATTTATTTAAAAAAAAATGTGTGGCCGAATGCCAAGATGGTTCAAGACTGAATCAGCTGGTAAAGACTATGAACCAGGACCATCATCAATGATACTATGTAAAATTACATAAATAACATGCATAATCATGCACATAACACAAATGAAATTCACCACAGATGAAATTCACCACAGCAGATAAACGGCTTCAGACTAAATCCAGACAGCTGCAAACTTTTCGGAAGAGAGTGTGTTAGCCATGGGAAAAAAACGCCAAAATGAACAATGTCAGCTCAAGCGTCGTGAACGGCGAGCAGAGAAGAACGAGCTAAAGGAAAAAGCCGCAGAGGCAACAGCAATGTTGGCAATTACACAGTTGCAGCTGCGCTCTACACAGAGAAAGCTCGTAAAGACCGACTTGGAGTTGCAGGAGCAGACAGAGAAAGCAACCTCTACAGAGGCAGAGCTTGCCAAAACCCAGAGGCATGTCCAGGACCTTTCGCAAGAAGCCACCTCTGCAAAGGCAAAGCTTACCGAAACTGAGAGACATCTCCAGGAAAGGTCGCAAGAAGCCAGATGGGCAACCAGCATGGGGAACTACTATCGCAGTGTTCTGGAAGACAAGAAGCAGGACACACTTACAAGTGAAAAACACATGCATGATTTAGTACATGTGTTTTTTCAAGCATGTGCTGAAACTACCCATGCTTCAATAGACTCTTAAGATATGTGTTTTCTCTGTGCAGGAGCTGGCATCTTTGAAGAAGGACATCAAAAAGGAGAGTGCACCGGCTACAGGTTCTGCAAGCTCCAGTTCCAAGGTGTATCTTGGCTTGCATTAAAAGATGTCATGACACAGTTTTCTTGGAAAAACATCTGTTGCCATAGAGCCACTTGTATGGCTCCGAGGCAGAAGACATCTTCCAAGAAGTGAGCGATCTATCACTCGACCGCAATGAATGGAAAAAACCCATCACTACCATTCGGTACTATTTGGTGCCTACTTTAGATTCCTGCATGTATGTTTGCAAGCTCGACTCAAGTGTGACTCTCTGGCCTGCTTGCCACATTGGAGGAGCTCCGGCCACAGAAGGTCTTGGCCTCAGCATGCATTGTGTTGGAAAGCCTTGGCCACACATTATCTATGTCTTTTTGTAATCACATGAGTGAGGGCCACAATCATTAAACATAAACATGAACATCAGGAAACCTAAGCTGAAGACTCAGACAATGAAGTGAAGCAGCCTTCTTCCTGCCAAGGTTGCATGTGGTGCAGACCTTGACCTTCAGCTGTTTGGAATGACATTCAAACTTCCCAGCAACACACATCAAACAACCAAAAAACCTGCCTGGAAGTTCTTGATCTTTGCCAGATATGGCAAGCTCAGGCTATGAACATCTCAGGCAAGAACATGCTCACCAAAGAATAGTCCATGGAGTAACCCAAACATTTCAAGACTTGGAAAGCCAAGTCTTGAATAGTCATTGTCAAGACTTGGGGACATGCAGTTCAAAAGCGAAGCAGTTCAAAACTTGGCATGCCAAGTTGTGAAAAACAGTGTAAGATTTCAGACCTGTGGCTGCCAAGTCTTGACAATCATGTTCACTTGTGTTCATGTCTTGGAAGACCAAGTCATGAAAGACATAATTCTCGGTAAGGGTCTAATGTTGAAATTCTTTGCCCCAATAGTTTCAAGACTTGGAAAGCCAAGTCTTGAATAGTGCAATCATTGTCAAGACTTGGGGACATGGAATTGCAAAAAAATGTAACAGTTCAAAACTTGGGATTCCAAGTGTTGATAAAAAGTGTAAGATTTCAGAACTGTGGCTGCCAAATCTTGAAAAATATTGTCAAATGTGTTCATGTCTTGGAAGACCAAGTCATGAAAGACATAATTCTTGGCAAGGGTCTCATGTTGAAATTCTTTGCCCCAAAAAGTTTCAAGACTTGGAAAGCCAAGTCTTGAATAGTGCAATCATTGTCAAGACTTCGGGACATGGAATTGCAAAAAAATGTAACAATTTAAGGGAATCCAAGTGTTGATAAAAAAAAATCCGATTTCATAACTGTGGCTGCCAAATCTTTAAACGTATTTTCAAATGTGTTCTTGTCTTGGAAGACCAAGTCATGAAAGACATAATTCTTGGCAAGGGTCTAATGTTGAAATTCTTTACCCCGAAAAGTTTGAAGACTTGGAAAGCCAAGTCTTGAATAGCGACATCATTGTCAAGACTTGGGGACATGGAGTTGCCCAAAAATGTAACAGTTCAAGACTTGGGATACCAAGTCTTGAAAGAAAAATGTAAGATTTCAGAACTGTGGCTGCCAAGTCTTGACAATCATGTGCACTTGTGTTCATGTCTTGGAAGACCAAGTCATGAAAGACATAAATCTTTGTTATACTGTTGAAAGTCTATACCGCATAAAGTTTCAAGACTTGGAAAGCCAAGTCTTGAGTAGGGCAATCATTGTCAAGACTTGGGGACATGGAGTTGCAAAAATGTAACAGCATTTCAAAACTTGGCATGCCAAGTCTTGAACAAAAGGTGTTAGATTTCAGACCTGTGGCTGCCAAGTCTTGAAGAAAAATCCAATTGTGTTCATGTCTTGGAAGACCAAGTCATGAAAGACATAATTCTCGGTAAGGGTCTAATGTTGAAATTCTTTGCCCCAATAGTTTCAAGACTTGGAAAGCCAAGTCTTGAATAGCAACATCATTGTCAAGACTTGGGGACATGGAGTTGCCCAAAAATGTAACAGTTCAAGACTTGGGATACCAAGTCTTGAAAGAAAAATGTAAGATTTCAGACCTGTGGCTGCCAAGTCTTGACAAACATTCTCACTTGTTCTCATGTCTTGAAAACCAAGTCATGAAAGTTCTTATTGGGGTCTAATGTTCCAATTCTTTACCCCGAAAAGTTTGAAGACTTGGAAAGCCAAGTCTTGAATAGTGCAATCATTGTCAAGACTTGGGGACATGGAGTTGCCCAAAAATGTAGCAGTTCAAGACTTGGAATGCCAAGTCTTGAAAAAAAATGTAGGTTTCAGAACTGTGGTGGATGCCAAGTCTTGACAATCATGTTCACTTGTGTTCACGTCTTGGAAAACCAAGTCATGAAAGTTCTTATTTGGGTCTAATGTTCCAATTCTTTACCCCGAAAAGTTTGAAGACTTGGAAAGCCAAGTCTTGAATAGTGCAATCATTGTCAAGACTTGGGGACATGGAGTTGCCCAAAAATGTAGCAGTTCAAGACTTGGAATGCCAAGTCTTGAAAGAAAAATGTAGGGTTTCAGAACTGTGGTGGATGCCAAGTCTTGACAATCATGTTCACTTGTGTTCACGTCTTGGAAAACCAAGTCATGAAAGTTCTTATTTGGGTCTAATGTTCCAATTCTTTACCCCGAAAAGTTTGAAGACTTGGAAAGCCAAGTCTTGAATAGTGCAATCATTGTCAAGACTTGGGGACATGGAGTTGCCCAAAAATGTAGCAGTTCAAGACTTGGAATGCCAAGTCTTGAAAGAAAAATGTAGGGTTTCAGAACTGTGGTGGATGCCAAGTCTTGACAATCATGTTCACTTGTGTTCACATCTTGGAAAACCAAGTCATGAAAGTTCTTATTTGGGTCTAATGTTCCAATTCTTTACCCTGAAAAGTTTCAAGACTTGGAAAGCCAAGTCTTGAATAGTGCAATCATTGTCAAGACTTGGGGACATGGAGTTGCCCAAAAATGTAGCAGTTCAAGACTTGGAATGCCAAGTCTTGAAAGAAAAATGTAGGGTTTCAGAACTGTGGTGGATGCCAAGTCTTGACAATCATGTTCACTTGTGTTCACGTCTTGGAAAACCAAGTCATGAAAGTTCTTATTTGGGTCTAATGTTCCAATTCTTTACCCCGAAAAGTTTGAAGACTTGGAAAGCCAAGTCTTGAATAGTGCAATCATTGTCAAGACTTGGGGACATGGAGTTGCCCAAAAATGTAGCAGTTCAAGACTTGGCATGCCAAGTCTTGAAAGGAAAATGTAAGGTTTCAGAACTGTGGCTGCCAAGTCTTGACAATCATGTTCACTTGTGTTCACATCTTGGAAAACCAAGTCATGAAAGTTCTTATTTGGGTCTAATGTTCCAATTCTTTACCCCGAAAAGTTTGAAGACTTGGAAAGCCAAGTCTTGAATAGTGCAATCATTGTCAAGACTTGGGGACATGGAGTTGCCCAAAAATGTAGCAGTTCAAGACTTGGAATGCCAAGTCTTGAAAGAAAAATGTAGGGTTTCAGAACTGTGGTGGATGCCAAGTCTTGACAATCATGTTCACTTGTGTTCACATCTTGGAAAACCAAGTCATGAAAGTTCTTATTTGGGTCTAATGTTCCAATTCTTTACCCCGAAAAGTTTCAAGACTTGGAAAGCCAAGTCTTGAATAGTGCAATCATTGTCAAGACTTGGGGACATGGAGTTGCCCAAAAATGTAGCAGTTCAAGACTTGGAATGCCAAGTCTTGAAAGAAAAATGTAGGGTTTCAGAACTGTGGTGGATGCCAAGTCTTGACAATCATGTTCACTTGTGTTCACGTCTTGGAAAACCAAGTCATGAAAGTTCTTATTTGGGTCTAATGTTCCAATTCTTTACCCCGAAAAGTTTGAAGACTTGGAAAGCCAAGTCTTGAATAGTGCAATCATTGTCAAGACTTGGGGACATGGAGTTGCCCAAAAATGTAGCAGTTCAAGACTTGGCATGCCAAGTCTTGAAAGAAAAATGTAAGGTTTCAGAACTGTGGCTGCCAAGTCTTGACAATCATGTTCACTTGTGTTCACATCTTGGAAAACCAAGTCATGATAGTTCTTATTTGGGTCTAATGTTCCAATTCTTTACCCCGAAAAGTTTGAAGACGGAAAGCCAAGTCTTGAATAGTGCAATCATTGTCAAGACTTGGGGACATGGAGTTGCCCAAAAATGTAGCAGTTCAAGACTTGGAATGCCAAGTCTTGAAAGAAAAATGTAGGGTTTCAGAACTGTGGTGGGTGCCAAGTCTTGACAATCATGTTCACTTGTGTTCACGTCTTGGAAAACCAAGTCATGAAAGTTCTTATTTGGGTCTAATGTTCCAATTCTTTACCCCGAAAAGTTTGAAGACTTGGAAAGCCAAGTCTTGAATAGTGCAATCATTGTCAAGACTTGGGGACATGGAGTTGCCCGAAAATGTAGCAGTTCAAGACTTGGCATGCCAAGTCTTGAAAGAAAAATGTCGGGTTTCAGAACTGTGGTGGATGCCAAGTCTTGACAATCATGTTCACTTGTGTTCATGTCTTGGAAAACCAAGTCATGAAAGTTCTTATTTGGGTCTACTGTTCCAATTCTTTACCCCGAAAAGTTTGAAGACTTGGAAAGCCAAGTCTTGAATAGTGCAATCATTGTCAAGACTTGGGGACATGGAGTTGCCCAAAAATGTAGCAGTTCAAGACTTGGAATGCCAAGTCTTGAAAGAAAAATGTAGGGTTTCAGAACTGTGGGGGATGCCAAGTCTTGACAATCATGTTCACTTGTGTTCACGTCTTGGAAAACCAAGTCATGAAAGTTCTTATTTGGGTCTAATGTTCCAATTCTTTACCCCGAAAAGTTTCAAGACTTGGAAAGCCAAGTCTTGAATAGTGCAATCATTGTCAAGACTTGGGGACATGGAGTTGCCCAAAAATGTAGCAGTTCAAGACTTGGAATGCCAAGTCTTGAAAGAAAAAAATGTAAGGTTTCAGAACTGTGGTGGATGCCAAGTCTTGACAATCATGTTCACTTGTGTTCACGTCTTGGAAAACCAAGTCATGAAAGTTCTTATTGGGGTCTAATGT